CTTCACTTAAAAAGAGCATGAGATTACGACAACTCAACAACAAAGATCAAGGTTCTATCTTAATTTCAATCATAACCATATGTCTCTGTTTCCCATCTTTTTATTAAATTACTCGATAGATGACAGTTACCACCTTGGCTTTCTTTCGACTAGAAAGAACATTTTTAGATATTTTATTGTTCATAAAAATATGAATTAGAAAAGCTGTTAAGTCAGTTTAACTTCGGCCTTAAAATGATCCTTTTGGATCTGAGAGTCCCTAGCTTCTTGATTATGGTGGTTAAAAATCAAACCACCTACTTAATCAAACAGTTAACAAAAATATTCTTTCCACCCTTTGGTGAATTCTTCCAGAATTACTGAAGATCTAATAATATAGAATCTAAAAAAAAACACAAAAAACAATTTACAAGGAGCATTTAAGCTGTAGAGATTTAAATGCAGGGATCATTTTAGTCGATTTTACTTTTAAACAATAAAAAGTGTCATCAGTATTTTGTCAACTTTGGCCAAGTAGGATCAGATGTTCATGTCAGCCATAGACTTTTCTTGGCCTTTTCTCTTTTTGGCCCCTTAATAGCACACTATGCAAACTGTAGTAAAATACGTAACATGCTTCTTGAAATCAAATCCACTGGTAATCATTTCTAGGCTTTTTGCTCCTGTTAGGTCCTATAAAACAATAACATTAGTAATTCTCCCTAGGGACGATAAAAGGAAGCACTGTATTGATTCCTTTTTCAAAGGTAATTCTTCAGATTAAAACAAAAAGTCCGAAAAAAAAAATCAAACAAGAATTATTCCTCTTTTTTGCTTTTTCATAAATTAGTAATTTTAGATGGAAGGTATAGCTCTCAATTGTAATTCTTCTCCTTCGCTGCCCCCCCCCCCCAAAAAAAATTACACACACAAAAAGAACTTTATGGTAACATGATAGTGGCTCTATCTAACACTGTACCAGAAAAAAACAATCATCTCACAGATGTTCTTCAAAACTACAGGCATCGATCACTTGGACTAAAGTCAGAGCATGAGAGAATTCAGAATCAATTCTATGCTTCATGCAAACACTGTAGACGCATGTTTGCTCAGTAGAGGAACCAAGTGATGTGGATTCTAGGTGGTGGAAACTAAAAGATACTAAAATCCCAGCAAACTTTAAAATTGCACACCAGGTATAGAAGTAGAACACAGAGTTCGAAGCCAATGCAAATTCTGTCACTGATGAGACAAAGTAAAGCATCCACAGCTGAACGTTTTTTCAAGACATTCGGTCACGCCCACTGGCCTTTTGGAAGTTCAGCTTACCTCTTCACAAACACAGCTAAGCTTCCCAGGGATAGGGGCTGCATTGGTTTTCCTCTTTGGGTAGATTTTACCCAATGAATCAGATAAGGCTTGCCCTTTGGTCCTCTGGTGCAGTCTGTTCTCCTAATTGGGTGGTTCTCAAATTTTAGTACAAAGAGGAAACCCCCAGGGGAGTCTGTATAGGATGCAGATTGCCACAACCCAACCTGGGGTCTCCCATCTCAACCAGCTACGCAGGCCAGGTAATTGTGGTGCTGGGTATCCTTGGACCCCAGTTTGAGGAACCCTGGAGGGATTCCATTTATGCCAAGATCTTACTGGATAGGAAATGCTGAATCTTTGAACCACAACAGCTGGGAAGCAAGGGAAACACTTTGGGTAGGAAGGAACGATCACAGTAGGCTTGGCACCGCAAGTTTTGTACAAGGGAAGAGGGTGGGAAGCAACAAACCTGGTGTTATTCACTGGCTCATCAGCCAATCCTTGGCCCAGGAGCCCACCCACACTCCAACCACCATGTCTCAGACCTGAGACTTCCATCCCAGACACACATTCAACCAGACATGCACCTACCCAGCCTCCGTTATCCTGGATCCAGGTGTGCAGGTGCCGGTTCAGGTACTCTGTCATCCACAGGGCGATGTTGTCCACCAGGGGCGACATCTCCCGGTTGACGCTCTCCACACACATGACTCCACCGAACTCAAAGAAGGCCACAATCCTTCCCCAGTTCACTCCATCCCTGAAGAGCTCCTCCACCACCGTGGCAAAGCGTCCCCTCGCGGTGAAGGGCGTCAGGTGCAGCTGGCTGGACATCTCTGCGAAATCGCGGTGGTAGCGACGGGAGAAGTCATCGCCCGCCTGTCGCAGGGT